ATAGAATAGCACAGTGTCAACTTAATATGAGAAAGATTTTGCAAGTATAGTCAGTAAGTGTACTTACCGGTAACTGCGAATCTTAGTATAATATTGTTTCGAATTAATTCTCGTGCTTTATCAGTACTGACTAAAATTTATGGACGCTTGTACGTGACTTAATTAGATGTAGATACGAAATGAAATCATATGAGTCAACCAAGTTTCAATTTTAGGAACGAGAATAATATGTCAAGAAGAACTTTTACTGACACGTCTGTGGCGTTAAATTTGTTGGATTTATAGACAGTCACGTAATATGGAGTAATACAACTGGACTTAGAATATTCTTGGGTTGCTAGCTTCGAAATCAGTAACATCAGGCAACGGAATATCGTATCGCACATAACCTTTTCATTTCAGAAAAAAGAACATTAAAAATGCTGACATTTCCAAATTGCAATTTTCATTGTTTGATTTTCTGACCTTATGAAAAGTGACAGAAATGGAATAGTGATGTCATACAGCCATAACAAAGACAGAATAAAATTCACCGACATATAACTGGACATTTTGTTTTCTATTACAAAGCCGAGCGCAATTATTCCTATATTCAACAGGTAATATTATTTCACCAGCAGGTGTCAATGCAATTAGCGTTCGTTCAAAATTTTGTCCGAAGTCCAAAATTTAACAATTTTCAAGCATGGTTGCAATACTTATTTCTGTAAAGTCTTTGTTACAACTTACAGCCCTACACATTCGAGTGTGCCATCATCGCCCATCATTATTACATTTCAATTGGTTTTTGTTCATGTATTATTGACTGTAAATAAATCTGCTGTGTTGCTAATTTTATTTCCACAATAGATATAATGCTGCATTTAGGAAATTCGAATTGCGCTTGTTATTTTGGTAATGAAAAGTTTATTTCCGAATCTTCGGACTTGCGTCCCAGCTCAGGCACTTATTGTAAAATTTGTTTCTGCTGTTATCACGTGAAGGTCTACCACACTATAGCGCGAGATCTACCTTAAGCTGGTACTATAGCGTGAGGTGACTGTTAGGCTTAGGGTGTAACTCTTCCTGCAACATTTTGTATTGCGCTCAATCGATGTTAATGAGGTCGAGATGGATGGAATGCGAGAGACTGCACCTGGAAAGTCCGCGTATATACCTCACACCATAGTCTCGCATATCTGTTATAAGGAAAGGCATTGGTTCTTATTTATAACTTGAATGTTATAGTTATAGGTTGATAAAATTTCGCCTCGATCGCAGTCGGTTTCTTTCATATCGTAGAGACGTAGAACATACGGCCGAATGTATCAGAGATAGGATAGATTCATACCTTAGAAGTAGAAAGCATAAAACAACGAACCGGTCAAGCGATTGTTTGTGTTTGCTCTCTCTAATTATTTAGAGACCAAACAACAAATAGATCCGGTCTGTTTATTTTCCCCGCGGTAATAAACTTGTGAATTGAAGTCGGTCGGGTTCTCAGTAAAAGCGGATTTCCCAGCAAGACGTGCTTTGTATTTTGCATTTTCTCTTTGTTTGCACAAGACTAATTGGCAGATTATCAGCGTCTGTATTCCGACGCCATAAACGAGACACCAACTTAGAGTAGTAAGGAAGGATATTGTGAAGTAGAAAGGAATTTTACTGAAACATTTTTGTTTATGGAATAGAAATGAAAAGGAGGAATAACTTTTATTTAGCTTACTTAATTTGGATAAGATGCATTAGCAAATTTTGGGGTAAAAAAAAAATCATAGTTTGTTTGCAGCTCTTTCTAGAGTAGTATATTGCAGGCACAGGGTAATTGGCGGTGTTATATTTTATATAGATTGAGTTTGACATAGAATTGGCAGAATGGTGGTATTTTTATCCTTGTTTCTTCTGACCTGTCACAATTTAGTCAAAGTAATCAATTCAAATGTGATACAAACATAACCAAGTTGATCAATCGATTAGTTTATACTATTTTTACCCTTCCAATAGTTC